ATAATTTTCTTCGATTTTCAAAAAAGATTTATGTTTAGATAATTAAACCATTAAACGTGTTTTTGGAATGATTTATTTTATTTATGATAATTCGAGAGATTTCAATTACTATTATAATTAATATTATATAATATTATTAATAATTTTTTATTTTTGGACGAGATAAACAACTAATTGACATATTTGTTAATATTTATTATCATTAGAATAATTCGTTTAATTTTCCACAATCATTTTTTTTTTCATAATATAATTACAATTAAATTCAAAAATAAATGCAACTTTTAAAGAGGTTACATTTGGTTTGCGATTTTCAAAAAATCAATTCATTTTTTTATCTTATTAAATTCTACGACTTGTCTAGAATATTGTTTGAAATTTTGAAATCGATAGGAATAATAGTTTAAGAGATAGAACCATGGGAAGTTTCATTCTTAAAATGACTCAAAACTTTAAACGTGATTTTTCTCAAAATGCTATTTTTAAAATTGGTTGTCAAGATTTCTCAAAAACTATGTAACCAATTTTAATAAAATTTTCTACACGTCTTCGAGATACTATTGACAAGGACTTGTACGAAGAATTTTTTTTTTTTTCATCACATCTAATTTTAAAAAATCAAAATGTGATGCAAATTGTAACAAAATTTGAAAACGTTGCCAAAAATCTAAATTTCAATTTTTTGTCTTTTTTTCTTCGTCCAATTTCTATTTACTAAAAAAACCCTCACAGTTCATAAATTCTACTATCAACACGAAACACTTTTTTTCGATGGGGTCACCAAACATGACATCGCAATGGCTGAGTTTTAAATATTTTTAGAGAAAAATTATCAGAAAATGTTCATTAAATATGTATCTTAAATATTATAAAAAAGTTTGTATAAAAATTCCATGTTTTATAATATATAAAAAAGAAAAAGAAAATTATCGAAAATATGGTATTTTTGTTCCCAATGTAAACCCATGAAAAACCCCCTTTTAAAACGAGATACATTTTACAGGTTACCATTTGTTTTTTGTTATCCTTGACGTATTGTTCGGCTGAAAAATTATCACCCGATCAAAAGGCACCACCTTTTGCTCGTATCTCAGGTGGACTTATTTTGAATACACCATACGAAAGTGGAGGTCAAGTTGGAACAAGTTCGAATAACGTTGATGGTGTTCAAAGGGAAGAAACGGAAGATATTAAAATTGTTGATGGTCAACCGGTTCGTGTAGTGAAAGGAAGTTATTCGTACAAAAGTCCTGAAGGACTTCCTGTAGCTGTCAAGTATGTATATTTTCTTTGTTTTCATTTTTTATTATTATTATTATATTCTTGAAATATTTTCAAGTCAATATTTAAATTGTCAAACTCTTTTCATTTATTATATACCACGTGTGGAAATATTTATAAAAAACAATCCGAATAATCTAATTTTTATTCGTGATAAACAATGAATTTTTTGTTTCATTTCTCGAAACCAAAGTAAAAGTTTTGTCTGCAAAGTTTTTTTTTTAGCACATAATAATCGAGTTATTCGAATTTAATGTTTTAAATGTCTCACTCGGTATAATTTAATATTTAATTAAATATATTGTAATATTATATAACACTACATATATTGATATAATATA